TGTGTCTTTAGTTTGTCCGTCATCTTGTTGATTTTGCGCTCCAGCCTAGCGTATCTAGCAAACTCGTCCATCATGCTTATGGAGGACTGCTCCTTCTTCATTTCCTGGATTTCCGCCCTCATCTCAATCTCCTGTTCAGCATCTTTCTGAATCATCTTTGTCAGCTAAAAAGGTAAAATAGGAGATCCAGATAAAAATAAAGATAAACATTCTGGGTATATACAGTTTTAAGTAACTGTTAATGCAATTGTCACATGGTTCGTGCAATCGGTCTCTCTCTCTATCTCTCTCTCCCTTCAGTCACTCACACACAGACACTCGTTTATGCAACCACCCTCCCAAAAGCACATACATTGATATCGGAAAGATATCAAAAAATCATTGTGCAATACCATGTTTTACCGCTCATTCACCACGTAATATTTAGAGGGGCGCTATTGTACACATCATAAAACGCCCTCTTAAAAAGGATGATGAGACGACAGAGATAACATAGAAGGATTGCGTTACGTAAACTGTTAAGAAAGAGTTAAGTGTTATTTAAATAACGGTTATATTCTGAAGAAGTAAAGAGACCTGGCTTCTTTTTGGCTCCGCAAGAAACCGCCACTGATAATAACAGAGTTACGTCGTAATGTGATAAATAGACTGCTATTGTCGTTGATGTTGCCATATGTCCGTTACACACATTTCATACACGACACGGAGCTCTACTTACAAAAGAAGATATGGAGGGCAGGAGTGTTTTCATTAGGTTGCACAGAAAAACCGAGGCCAGCACAAGAAACCACGCGTAGCCGGCCGCCATCTTGGCTCTTCTTCTCTAGGTCTCTCCTCCCTGCTCCTGCGCAGTTACACTATTATAAGGCCATTCAGGTTAATCTGGTTGTTAAATCTAAATCTACAATGCGGCTACCACATTGACAGCACATGTAACGTGTTTGGTTTAATATTATAACCAAGGTTCTGGTTATATTGGAGATTTTCTCTGAAAACATTTACTTATTTTCTATTTTGTTGTAGAATATGGTTTACCATAATACAGATAAACATAAAGACTCAATGTGCTTGAGCATATAGACTCTCGGTTCTTAGACAGATAAACATAAAGACTCAATGTCCTTGAGCATATAGACTCTCGGTTCTTAGCATGATGGTTAGTTATGGTGACAACTATATTGACTTATTGTCAGTGTAAGAAAGTATTCCACTGCACATTCCAATTCTGTTGATGTTTGTTTTACTCATCTCTCTTTAATCTTTGGTCACATTTGCTTCTTTCATGTATTCATCCTTTAAGTATTCAGGTTATATATATATATATATATGTACATACATATACATGTTCCTACATGTTTTTGTAGGACTAAAGGTAGTATAAATGGCCACATTTGTTGTTAAATGTTGGACATTTATATGTAATAAGAAATAACGTTTTAAGACAATATTTAAATACAGAGCACATTGTTCATGTGTAATGGTCATTTCACAACCAGTGCAGTTTATGAATTAAGTATGTAAAGTTTAAATACGTTAACATACTCAAAATATGAATTAGAATAAGGCAGTCACAGGTAATGTAAACAACATTTAATACTCATTGTTGTTTTTTTTATTTAGTATCTTCATATTCTTGTTTTTAAAAATCCGAATATTTAGTTTTATGGGTATTAAACGTATAACCAAAAAAACATAATTGTGCTACGTTTGGCAGAGGTTAAATGAACCAGTCAACAGTCAAGTGTTAAATATACATACCTTGTCCTTTGCCTTACACACGCCCTCCGCGACACTTGAGTGGCTTCACTGATTGGCACTCCATCCTGCCCACACAGGTAAGGTGTTGTGGTTCAAAAATATTTTGCCTCCGCCTCAAAGCCAATCACTGAGGGCCGGGGGCGGGGCTATGGCCTTCCTGGTGGCTTGGTAGGATAAGGGACGAAATGTACCAAGAGGGAGATCCAATCCGGTTTGAGCTAGTTCTGGTCCCGTTCGGACGTTAACATTAAAGTTAAACAGTAGAGAACACAGTTGGAGGAGGTGTGGACAGAGGTGAAGGAAAGATACAGTCGCAGTTCTCTGTAAAGAGTTAAAGATCTTTGTTGTGCCTTCACGTTTGTCTCTTGGTCGAAATTTTCCGCAACAATGGGGAGGAGAAAGGTGAGTTCCACTGTGTACATTACGTTGAATTATTTGCCTGAATACGTATAAATATATACCAAGTTAATCGCCGTGAATCGGATACAACCGACGCGCTTAGGTTTGGCCACATTGTGACTTCGTCCACCGTTTCGCTTCTCCGTGTGTGTATTATCGTTCGGCCGTAGTTGTTCGGTACAGTGTGTCCGTGTATGTGGAGTACATCTATGCTGGCGGTGCTCACGTCTCGTGTCCACTGTTGATACAGGGAAGTGGCGCCTTTTTACTTAGCACACGCCTCTCGCCCTTTGCCTAAGTTTAAAGGCGGATTTTCCTATGCCGTCCACGCTGTAAGCGAACATAACCCTGGCGACTGAAAGCGAATATATGGCCGCGGTTTGACTCAAAAAAAAATCCGCGTATGTCTCCTGAGGCCAAACAAAGGGGTGTAACCACCATCGCTGCACAGGTTGTCGTTTGTAGGAGATTCCTGTGCGTAATTGGCGCTGGCTACGCACACTTTACCGTGGAGAAGTGGAGCTACGTTTCACACGGCGGTTTCCCATAGATTGAAACGATGCGTTTTGAGTCTAATCATAGACTACAATGTTGAGATTTTAACATTGTCTCCTGTGGTGTAAAAAAAACAAAAACCCCAAAACAACAAAGAAGCCGTCGCGCGTCCCCCCACCGAGAACGCAGCTAACGCGGCTAAGACAGCGGCACATCTGGTTGCGTTTCGGTGCGGTCGTGTAAAAGCAGTCGTTAGTTCGATGACCGATTTTGATTAAAAAAAAACAAAGTTTTTTATCAAAGAGGGCAATTTGCTCGGTGAATGGGGTGAAGAAACGATGAGTTCACATGGAGGAGGCTTGGAGCGACTTCCTCACATCCCTTCTCTAAAGTGACCGTGTTAATAAACGCCAAGAATTATACATTTATTTTCGATGTTCTCCGTGCCTCGCTTGCCGTTACATTTCGTAGCTGAAACGTCAGTTTCTCTGCTACTGTAACATATCAGACTCCGCTCTTTACTCTTGAGATTGCATAATTTTCTTTGTGACTTGTGAGGAGGTAGATGTGCCCATCCCCCCTTTCCTTACACACCCACTGGAGCTCCGTCGTGAATGGTTTTTGTTCTTGGGTTATTAATTTCCCCTTTCCGTTTCTCTGTCCCCCACAGTCCACTGGAAATGCAGAAGCAACCACAGAGGTTTGTACCATTTAGAAATATTTTACGTATCACAGACACAACACTTGTGCACAAATGGACATTTTGTTCTGATATGGTTTGTCAGTGTTTGCAGCTAAGGTAAATAGATAAACATGTGTAGTTGCATAGTTTTTCTTAGTCTTCTTGAATTAGGAAAGAAAAAAAAAATCTCAAATATAACAGATGCACAGTTGAGGTACAACACGGGGGAGATACAACAACTATCACATATTGTTTGGTTTTAGTGTATTTTCCTCGGTAAGCCTATAGAGGGCACTGTTCACAAATTAAAATCAATTTTCCTCGTGGGCAAAATTTCTACTGGATCAAGGGCCAGGTAGTCAAATCCATATTTACGTTTTAGCTACATAGCAGATTGAATAATAAGAGCTGAGCAAATGAATTTAATGTTAGTGTAACAACAATAGTTAAAGATATTAAAATAATGTCCCAGAAAAAGCGTAAGTCTGACACCCAGATAAGAAAAAAACTGATGGTGTATATTCATAATTCAGTTAAGGTGGTTTAGAAAGGACACTATTTATAGTTAAATGTCTTGAGTTAAGCAAAGCCTGACAAAAATAGTTTCGTCAGCTCATAGTTGGGTCATGCTGGCTGTAAATATTTCAGAAAGAAACTTGGCCTAATTATAAATATAAATTTGGCCTGAAAAAGTTGTCTTTGAGAGAGCTTAAAGGATCATTGACAGTTGACCAAAAATAGGAAAAGGTGAGATGACAAACTGTCATCGTTACTCAAATTACCAATACCACTGTGTACCAAGTGGGTGTGGTTAGTAGATTATAAGTTGTTAGTGTATTAGGGCAGCAAAAGCTTAAAAAATAATAATAATTTTGTTCTATTGTTTTGTTTTGTTTTTTTCAGCCACGAAGGAAGTCTCTACGTTTTGTGTTTTTTCAGCCACGAAGGAAGTCTCTACGGTTGTCAGAGGTGAGTTGAACAAAATACAATCTCACATTTCCAACACATTTTTGCCATAGATATTTTAGGTTTTAAATTGTTTTGTTTTTTTATGGTCACAGAAAGAGACTGAGCCAAAACCACAGCCAGAGAAGACGAAGGTAAAGCAAGGTTTTCCTATTTTTGATTTGTTTCGACCCCTATGATTGGCCGTGGTTTGTTCTTATTGTCTTGTTTCTATATTGTAGCCGGCACCCAAACCCAAAAAGGTAAAGGAGCCAGCAAAGGCTAAGCCAGAGGAGAAGAAAGAGCCAGAGGAGGAAGAAGAAGAAGAGGAGGAGGAGGAAGAAGAGGCTGCTGTTGAAAACGGAGCTGAGGAGGTATGACACTGGGCTTTTTCCTCACATCTTTTCAAAATAAAAGTGTCAAAGGGTGACGTTGCCATTGTCTCAACAGGCTGCAAATGGAAACGAAGAAGAAAAAAAGGAGGAGGAGGAAAAGGCCGAAGAAGAAGAAGAAGAGGAAGAGGAGAAAGAAGCAGAGTAGTGTGAACACTTTTAAAACTCAGCTACCAATGGTCTCTGTCCCTCCCTTCTTGTACAATGCAGAGAATATTTTGAATCTATTTTCTTATGACAGCAGTGTTTTTAGCGACGTGATCACCAATACTACATTAACCATTCTGTTTTCATGGCTTCTGTGAAGGGAAAGGCCAGGGGTATCTTTCGTGGTGCTTACTGTCATGCTCATGTTCAGAGTTTGATGTTCCATTTTACCTGAGCGTTCCTTGTGAGATCTGAGGGGGTTTTAGACTTGAACTGCTCTGCAGTAGTAATGCATTTATATGCTGTGTATTGTTTTAAAATGTTCATTTTTTATTTTTTTTCTCTAGTACTGGCATTAGTATTGTTGATTATGATTTATGCAGTTTGTGATGGAAGGTACATTTGAAAATGTCAAATTGAGCTGTATTCTTGGCTCTGCTCGGTTGAGCTTCATTAATCATGCTTGTTGTGGTTTGTATTTTTCAAAATGATTGTATATTCATTTCAATCTGCAAAACAAAAAAAAATAAATCTTGATAAGTTCATTGTAATTTGGAGATTCCTCTACTAATGTACAGCTATTTGTTTTTGTTTTTTTAAAGTTTTTTTTCACTTGAGTGGTATTAAATGCCAATTTGAATGTCTTTTCTCTGTGTTTATTTCATTGTTTACTCTTACCTGTGGATTAAAAATGTCATAAGATGTAGTAATGGTACATTTAATTAATTTTTATTTTTTAGAAAACCGTTTTGAGAACTCAACATTTTTAAACATAACTTATCTTGAGAAGCTGTGTTGTGTATTAAGTGTAGTAATGGCTGCTGTTATCAATGTGTTTCTTAAATATTTCGGTATATATTGAATTGATATGATTTTTTTAATAGCACAAAATAAATGTGTTTTCTTAGGTCTTTTATATCTGACAGAATTGTGTTATATGGTAAAATTGAAGTGCTATTTTTGCGATTTTTTTTTAACCTCTCAGCAACATTGGGCAAATAAATCTCCAACCAGACTAGACCAAAATTTAATTCTTCAGAAAAGCTTGACCGAGCACATTTGGCAACCGTGTCCTATGACGTCATTTGGTACGAGTTCACGACCTTGGTTGCCAAGTAAAGGGCAGCCGTTAAAGTGTGGACTCTAATGAAATGTTTCCAACATTAAAATTATTTATTTTATTTTCGACTTGTGTCGCTTCGAGCGGTACCGACCAGTGTGGCAGTTAAACAGAACACAGACGCCTAACGTCCACAGCTCTTTTATGTCTTTTGTTGAGAAGTCGCCCCGCCCTCCTCCCGCCTCCCCACCCCCTTTTT